CCCCCTGATGGGAAACCTGGCCGAGATACTGTACCAAAGCAGGGTGACCCTTTGCCACGTGCCATGTTGGATGATTTGTGGAGGCCAAGCCGAGACGCATTTCGAATGAGTGGTGGCAATGTGCGCGCCTCGTCATCATGGATTTGGAAAGAAATTGTGCGCATCTGCATTGTTGTCCCAATTTCCAGCCCCTCGACACAACACTATCCTCGCCTCGCCTGGCATCTCCCCTCAAAATCGCCACCACAAAGCACCTCCACAGAGCAATTTGAGCAGGCTCAACCAGGGAGACTGGGAACAACGAACATGCGAGCCACTCCTGTGAGCTGGTACACGTATAAAGTTGAGACGACTGGCATTATGGGGTGATTTTCACAGCATAAGTTGACGCCAGAGCTCGATCAGTCGTGCTAAATTGGTCGTTAAAGTAGCACACAGAGAGGGTGAGGTTTCGTCTTATACCTCGGAGGTCGCTAGTATGGCGCCCCGTTCTATCGCATTTTTCGCCTTCCTCGGGCTACTTGCCCTCGCTCACGCCCAGAAGGCTCCAGGCAGGAACAGGCAAGAAAGTCCATTTGATCAGTCATGGGACTGGGAGCCCGTAATTCGAATCCAACTGACGAGTTTGGCGAAGGCGAGCCTATTCACGAGATTGACGAATCATGGGACTGGGAAGTGACGAAACTTCAAGCAGCGGACGAGTTCGGCGAAGGTGAACCCGTTCACGAACCGACGAGTCCTGGGAGTTCGGCGAGTCGTCGTCCGACGCATTTTGGCGAAGGCGAGCCTGTGCACGAAACCGACGAGTCTTGGGACTTTGGCGAAGCTCTGGTAACTCCCTTTGGCGAAGGTGAACCAGTTCACCAGACTGACGAAATGTGGGGATTTGACGAAGGCGTCGCCGGCGACTCGTTCGGCGATGGGGAGCCGATGCACGAGATGGATGACGCGTGGGCGATCGGCGAAACCCGTCGTGAACGACGAGTTTGGTGAAGGCGAACCTCGGTCGCAGCTGGGTTCGTCGCAATGCACGAAGTCTTCGCTGACTGGCTACAGCTGCTCCGCCGAACTCAAGGGCAAAGAGTAAGCTATCGCTGGAACAATTAGCAGGGGCTCCTGTAACGAGATTGATTTGAAGAGGCGAGAGGACAGGAAAGGTATCGAATGCCTCTATAGAGTCTGCGCGCCGTGAAATTAATTCTATTAATCCACGCTCCTTCAATCCCGCGTACATTCGACACTTACCAGGGGCACACTTATCGTCCGTTACACTGTAGTCACCACCTGCGCCACCACCACATGCGCTTCATATTTCGAAGTGCCCCACTGTATGCCCCTTTTTCCCTTACTTCCCCGACAATCACATCAGTTATGTCCTGCACTGGACCGTTGGAATTAACTCCATCTCTTACGCCGCCGAAGTCGCGACCACCGGCTGGGTCGCCCTCGGCTGGTCCAAGGACGGCAAGATGGCCGGCAGCGATGCAGCGATTGGCAATCTGCCACCTGGCACCATCACTGACACTGCGAACGGCAACCCGGCCCCCATTGGCGCTTACTACATTCGCGCGAAGAACGCGGCGGATATTGTGCCGAACCCGCGTCTCGGACTGTCGTTGACTGCCGTGACTACTCGCGATGGCAAGACCATTGTCGAGTAAGTCAGCTGTCTGTAAAAAAACAGTTGTCGGCGTGAGTAATAAGAAGCTTGAAATACCGCATCGTAATTACTTGATTACCTATTTCTAGGCCCTGTGGTGATTTACGTTTCAGGTAGTCGTGCTGGAATTTCGCCTCAACCTGTTCTGCCTTTCTGTGCATCGATTTACTCCCGGTATGCAGATTCGAGAGGGAATTGGCTTCAGGCAACGTTCCCCTATTTCTTGATGCCGTTGCTAACGTCATCTTTGCTTACTCCGACGGAAATTCGAAGGAGTTGAAGTATCACGGTGCCAACAGGTGTGCTATGCCTCCACCTACCACCTGTTTGTCTCTCGTTACTCATTCCTGGCAATCTTCAACCAACCGGGCTTTATGCAACAAGCTCCAATAAAAATGTTGTTATTGTTTGCTATTGTGTCATGGGTGGTTGTGGTTACAGGGGTTCTGCGAGGGTTGGATACAACAATGGCACAACTACAATTACCACCACCCCAGTTCCCACCACAACCTACGGAAATTCCGCGCTCTTTTATCGCACACGGTTTCTTCATGGACGTTCGCGTTCGCTATCCTGATGCCGTCTGCCATCATTATAGCGCGTATGTTCCTCGCAGCTGACCAGATTTCGGATCCGTTATTTGTACAGCACAAGCGGTGACGCGAACGGTTTGGCTGCTGGGCTGACCGCGAGCCTTTCGAGCAGGACGAAGCGCGAAGGGCTCTGTGGTTTCAAGGCGCATATGATCCTGCAGATCGTAGCCGTTGTTTTTATTTTCACTGGTGCAGTGATTGCTCTGGTTACCAGTGGCACTCGCGGATTGGATTACCTTCACGGCAGTGGGGCTGGCGATGTTCATCATTGGTTTGGTTCTGCCCGTTTGGGGGATTCGTTGAAGCCTTCGCGAAACTCCGGTTACCGTGTGTTTCTGGCGTTTTGGTCACTGGTTTCGTGGGGATTGTCGCGGTGGTGCTGGGTTGGGTGAACGTGTTCCTCGGCCTCGACCGTTACACTACAATGTTCTCTGGAAACCAGAAGGTTAGACCCTTCATACCACCATCTCATACCACTCAGTTATCTCTTGCTGCACGGTCAACCACGATAATTCACGTTCCCTCCACTGATTCACGCCGCTCATAATAGGATGCGCATAACACTCCACTATATCAACCCCTCATTTCATAAGCATTGTTGCATGTCAACTCATCCAATTTCATGTATTTCTCTCACCGCCTTTCAGGCCTACCTGATCATTATCGGGATTGCCATCAGCGCATTTGGTCTGTTCTACATTGTTCTTGTCATTCGCGATTACCTCTTCAAGCCCAAGTCCGAGGACAACCAGTTCAAGGCCTCTGCAGCCGCTCCCGCGAATGGCGCAGGCGATGTGTAGAGTGTAGTGCTGGTGGTTACACTCTGCATCAAATAATGCATAAAAATGGCTGTCCAGTATACTTGTGGTGTTTGCCTGTGGCACATGGCTTGTGGTGTTTGCCTGTGGCACATGGCTTTGGACAAACTTCGGTAGCCCATGTGTGCTGGTTTGTTTGCGAATTTCATGTAGCCAGCCATTTTCTTTCAATAGCCCTGCCTCCAGCCTCCAACTTTACCAGTTTACTGTACCCTACAAACATAATCCTCAACAGATAAATCATAGATAGTAGAAACAATTAGGGTACATTCCGCTGTAGAATATGTCCCAATCGATGTGTCTCAATCGATTGGGACGCGTCACGGCCAGCATAAGCTGCCAGGTGTCGGAATGCCGTAGCGCTCGTGAAGGTCGCCGACTGTAATTATCATTGGGTGGCGTAATTCTCGGAACTGTCGCCAGCTAATTGCAACACTACCCCAGCAATCGCACGCGGGCCCCAAATGTCATCCCATGCATAATGTATCTGGACCACATTTTGCGACACCCAGTTTCCCCCCAAACGCGTTCGGAGCACCCTCATTGGAGGAAACGAACCGCGCAGAATTATTGACAGGGACGCGCACAGCCCCGCCAATGTGCCCTCCCCCCGTCCCCGTGCACCTCCGCAACAACTCCTTCTCTCAAACCAGTCAACGTTGTGCTCCGTGTGTGAAATTGTGCTCTATCATCTTCAACCATCGCGATTAGCTCTAGATCCAGATCTGAAGCGAGCCCACCGCAAGCATGGCTCGTAAGCGCAAGGGGCATGCTCTTAATGACTGCCCCAAGGACTTAAACGAAATCCCGTACATCCGTTGGATGAACCAGGCAAATCGCCAACGGCCGTCACCCCAGGGGCTTGTCCGCGCCACCCGTTCTTGACGGGCCAGGGGTCTACTGCACCGTCGCCTACGGCTGGGCCGTCGCGTATGCGTCGTCAGCCTACCAGGACGGCGGCAACACACCGGCCCCGCCGTGGAGGAACACGTAGCAGATGACGACGACGACGAAGGCGACGACGACTTTGCCTCCGACGACCGAGGACGACGAACCTGAGGACCAAGGAATGTCGCCAAGCGACGACGACGACGAGGAGGACGCCGATGACACCGAGGGACGACGGACACCGAGGAAGCACAGCCGCGAGCCCCGCCGCCGAAACGGAAAACCGCACGCAAGGCCGCGTCTGATAAGGGCAAAGGCAAGGCGGCGCAACCTTGCAGCGCGCCCGGAGCCGCGTAAGAAACGGGCTACTGCACCCTGTCGAGCGCGGGTTTATGGTCTGACAAGGAGAGCACCATCTTCGCTGCGGCAAAGTGGTTTCTCAAGGAGGAGCTCGAGCCCCTCAAGGGGAAACAGGGTACCAGTACTGGGCGCGGCTACTCGCACATATCAAGGAGTCGAACCCCGGATGGATCCGGGGTTGTCAACGCGCTCCAGAAACAGTGGCGTAACCTAATAGTTGCTATGGCGTGAGTATAAGAAGGCCGACGAGGGGTCGGGCAACGGCTCCGTGGAGAAACCACCTTGGTACCCGTACGTTGACCTGCACAACCAGGACACCGCCGCAGCCGCACCTCATGCCGTGGACGGAGGTGGCCTGCGAATAACGTCAACGTCCCGGCAGGCATGGAGGTTCCGCAATCGTCCCAGCCAGGCACGTCAACCCCTTGTTTTCACTGGTGAGTCCGAAGATTTTATCGCTCGCGTTTGTGGTTTCTCGTCCACGTTGTTTCTTGAACAATTTAATTTAAAAAAAAACATGCATGCAACGCACACCGACAACGGGTTATTCTATGAGCTAACACTAATGCGAATGTCCCTGCTATGTCGCAGCTCCTCCGCCAACGACTCCTGCCACACCGAGGCGTGCCAGGGTGCATGAGACGGCCACCATGCAAGCGGCCATGTTCGTATCTGCCACCATCAAGGACTGCCCATGGCGACGCTATGAACCGCATCGAAGGCCTCGTCCGTGAATGGATGGCGCAAGATCTCAGACTTGCCTGTGAGCGTATGACAGAGTCGGCTCCCCCGGATGTGCACCGCACGCCCCATGAATTCTCTCCACCGCCGCCACGCGGGGAGTCCGCGCCTGCTCCCGAAACCGCACGGACGCGTGTGGACGAGGGCGACGGCGACACCGCTATGCCGGCGGATGAGGATGTGGAAGTATGGGTTCGCGGCGCCGACGATTAGCGTAAGATGACTGCAGCGCCTCCCCTAGTCGTTTTCGCCTTTCCCTGAGTGCTTGTTGTGTAGGGGGATCGCACGGTTCCCATTTGAATGCCGCGACAGCACCCCGCGTCCACCACGGATCTCGGTTGCGTGGTATGTTCGCCCATGCCATGTTGCGCCGCCTGACATCCTGCATGTCTTCACACATGTTGTGCAGGATGATACAACACGCGGCCCCGGCGAGTAAGCGCCACAGCCTGCAGTCGTTGCGCTGGCCGAAGATGCGCCATCTCCCCTTGAACGCGCCAATGCATCTCTCGACGGCCATGCGTGTGGCGCTTTGGCAGTAGTTGAAAGTTTGTGCCCAGTCGTCCATGAGGTCCTCTCCTCGTGGGGCATGCAGGGGTGTTAGGCAGTACTCCCGTAGTGGGTAGGCCGCATCGCCAACGATCTGGTATGGGGCTATGTCCCCGTTCTGTAACCGCTCAAGTAATGCAGACTCCTTGAAAACACGCATGTCGTCAGCGCTACCGGGATACCCGATAAGGTAGTCCCATATTCTCCCTCGTGCGTCACATGTGACCTGGAGTTGTACAGCATATGCGGATTTCCTTGTCCAGTATTCTGTCCTGTGCCCCTCCATCCCCTTCATGTGTATGTGAGTGCCGTCCACAGCACCCACCACAGCAGGTACACCCTTGACGGCTGCAAACTCCCGCGCCATCTCTGGAAGCTCTTCACGGGTGGGGAACCGCACCCAGGCGGCCTTGAAGACGGAGGGGAAGTGCGAGAGGAACACGTCGACCACCTCGTGGCAGAGAGTTTTGGAGATGCCGAACAGGTACGAGATGTCTACGTACGATATTCCAGATGCCAGGTATTTGATAGGGATCAGCACTGCAGTGTACATGGTGAGTATGGATCGTTGCACAATCGGCTCAAGGTAGTGTTGCATCCCTGCCACAATGTGCTCCAGAATTGAACGGTTGATCCTGAAGAGATCCTGAAAGTCGTTCTCGCGCATGTGTTGCAGGTCTTCAACCCACAGAGCGTGTTTCCGCTTTCGTATCCGCGCTCTATGACGGCGGTTGTCGCCGTAATCGCTCCCGCAGGACGAGGACTGCTCTTCGTCGTCCTCGAAGACGCCAGACTCTATCAGGCCTACGAAGCTCTCGGAGACATTGTCGTGGAAGATTGTGTAGTAGTAGGTTATCCAGGCGACGAGGAGCCGTAGGATGAATGGGATGGTTCGTGGCTCAGCCATGTCTGGTGGACAGTGCGCGCAAGCCGTTAATTCCAGTACGTGTGTTTGTGGTTTATACTAGCTCCTTATGTCTGGTGCATACCACTATAGTACCAGATGTCGCAATTATTGGCAGCGCGGCTATGTTGTGTATCTTCGGGGAGTGCGCCGAGGGGATTTGTGTTTCCCCCAGTTGACGGGGTTCGGGGGTGTTTGTGCTTTTGGCGGGAATGTGGGCCAGGATGGACGGTGACCAATCAGCAGGGGTCGCTGATAATTTTCGCATCACACGGATGAGTCGCAATACATTGATCGATTGGGACATGCAGATTCAGGAAAATTGGGCGCGGCTCGACGGAAAGTGGATTGAGACATATCGATTGTGACATAAATCCACAGCGGAATGTACCCTTATATGAAACAATCTGAATATTCAGGAAAGGTATAGTACTGAGACCTGAATTCTCAAAAGGTGTACCAAACAGGATTGCGGGCAGACTGCCTTGCCAAACGTCTCCATCTGCGAAGCCCAACTTGTGAGACTCCTTACAGCCCCTCCTCACTGGTTCTCTCCTTTTGGTGCATTCCAGCCAGCAGCCTAAGGACCAAAGCTTCTTGCTATGCCAGTTGCAGCCAGCAACCTTCCCTCCCGCCTTCCCTTGACCCTCCTACCCGCCTACCCTAGCCTTCAGGTATGCTAGCAGAAGCATGCCCCGTGTTGGGAACAAACAATCTTAAGCGCCTCTGTCGTGTCGAAACACCAAGGCACAAGCGAAGCAGAGCATATCGAGGTACCAGCGAGTCAACCCTCGGAGGTTGAAGTAACCGCTGGAGGTTACCCGAAAGTCAAAGGTCAGCGATCTTTGACTTGACAAATGCAGCGCGACAACAAGGACACACAACTGACTCGACATTGAGCAGTTGCCTGAGTTGCACTGTATCGAACCGCAACAGTAAAGCAGTTTAATTATATCTCTTCGTATTATTTGTACTCTTATATAAACCTTTGTACTTGCTTGTTTTAGATAACTTACTTTGCCCTCACATACCAGTGCAAGGTGGTTCAAGGACTTCATTTAAATGCTTCCGCTACTACATCACTTTACTCAGAGTTTAACCCTACCAAAGATCCTAAGGGGCACTCAGCCCAACATGGTATGAGAGCTGGTTAGGGTTAAAATTATTTCTCCTTAACACCTAATGCACCAAAAGACATGTCTACCAGAAAGGAGAGGAGCTCCTCCAACGGCTCTCCTGGTACTATTCCTACTCCACCTCCTGCCTCTGGCCTATGTACAGAGGAAGGCACAACAACGAGACCGGCAGCTGGGTCTACTGAAACACCCGCAAACCAAGGCGCGGGCTTCGATCCAAGCATGATGGAGAAGTTCTTCTCCTTCATGTCCTTCTACGAGCAGCATCAGCAAGGAGCACCTGCGCAATCAAACAACAGCAACAACAACAACAACGTGACGCCCATGAGTCTCGATGGCTCATCCTACGCACGCGGGAATCAACAACAGCAATCTACCTTCGCTTCGTACGAGCCCCAGCGCGGCTCCGTTAGCATCATGCCACAACCACAACCTGCACCGGGACAAGAGAGAACGTTGGACGCACTACAAGTTCCGTCGCAGTTCACGTACGTTCTAAAACTGCAAACGACAAAACCCTTCGTCGGGAAGGATTTCTTTACCTGGTCGTTCGAATTCGAGCTGATGATGGAAGGAGCGCAAATCCTTGGCTTCTTCGACGGGTCCCTGCCATACCCAACAAACGGCACACAATATGAGAAACAGCAGTACACCTATCAATCGATGATGGCGTACACGATACTACTGAGGAACATCACTCCAACTCAACAACAAAACATACGGTCTTACTGAGGCTACGGCAACTCCGCGGAGCTCGCGTACAATCACTTGAAGAGCCTGTATCAAGCAATAGACAGCGTAAACCAAAGTCGGTTAATGGCGCAGCTGACAACAATCGAAATGAAACCAGGCGAGAAGGGAATGGCGTATATCAGTCGCTGCGCGAGCTGCACGACAAGCTTCTTCGACGCGGAGGATCCATTTAAGAGGACGCCTTCGTCACGGTTGTCATCGGCGGTCTTGGTCCTCACTGGCGCTCCACTCGCGCCATACTACGAGCCCACGGGAAAATCTCTGAAGCAACACTTTGCACCGAAATCCACGCCAAACAGCAAGACATGGACCTGCAAGAAGAACGACACAAGAGAAAGGTATCAATGCCCGAATTCGCGTTTCACACTCAACAACGCCACAACAACAACAACAATCGACCGAAAATCGTACCTCCGTTCTGCCACCTCTGCAAGACTTCAGGGCATCCTCGTACGCACTGCCCGAATCGACAACAGTCAACGTCGCCCCAACGCCAACTTCGCCCTTCAAGCAGTCAAGTCGCCTCAACGCAAGCAAATCCGACAACTTCAGTACAAGTCTCAACAACATCAACGGGACAACCCGCAAAAGGAACAAGAAACATCGTCAGTTGCATGGCAAGGCTGAGTGACTCCTGTGTAACCGAGTCACCACCATATTACTCACTAGAAGAACAACTCGACAACAGCACGCCTCGCCGCGAGTCACTTCAACCAAACCCGACGTACGCCACCATCGCTCAAAGCGAGCCGTCCGGGAAGGATACATGGTTCTTGGACAGTTGCTGCGGACAACATATGTGCTCTTCAGGAAGTTTCGTTCAACGCGAGCACCAACTTCAACGAGAAGTCGTCATCACTGTCGCCAATAATCAGAACCTGCGCACACGACGACAAGGAGTAGTGCAACTTCAGTCACGAGAGACGAATGTCATACTGCATGAGAGAATATGAACGAGAATGAAATGACTATGAACGAAGTGAGTACAAATAGGCAACCCTAATTGGGTTGTACCCCCTAAGGGATACCCCACTATAGCCTACACAAATAAGTAAGCTATAATGTTCTGACACACCCCCATAGGCAAAGTGGGGGAGAGCAAGGGGTCACAAGACCAGTCAAGCAAAGCAAAGCAAAGCTCAGGGTGGATCACAAAGTCACCACGCATTCCGAGCACAAGTTCAAAGGCCAGAAGGCCAGTTCACATGCAGGATCATATATAGAGATATACAAGAGTCAAGCAAGCAAGAGCAAGAGTATATATAGGCGAAGGTACAAGCAAGGTCAAGAGGAGAGCAAGTGAGGCAAGACAGGCACAAGACCCAACTGCGTGCAACAACGCTGATGATCACAAGGCGCAAGTGCCTTGGTGAAGACATCAGCAGTGTTGGCCTCAGAGGCCACGTACGCAAGTCGCAACTGTCCACGCTGCTGTAGCTCACGAGCAAGAAAGTAGCGGAGAGCAATGTGCTTCGTTCTGTGCTCCAGTCGCTGCTCTCGACACAAGGCCAGCATAGCCTTGTTGTCTACGTACAGGACAGGAGGAGAACGAGGCTGCTCTCCAAGGTCGGTCAGCAAGTAGGTGAGCCAGCGTAACTCCTGTGCAGCCATGGCCCCAGCGTAGATCTCAGCCTCACAACTGGAGCCGAGAACAGAAGACGAGCGGGTAGCCCGCCACGAAACAGAGCCGGAACCAAGGCTGAAGGTGTAACCCTGTGACGACCGCTGCGTAGCCTGGTCGTCAGCCCAAGAAGCGTCTGCGTGCCCAGTGAGGACCACCGGACTGCGCCCTCCAAGCACTAGCCCCATGCCCGACGTACTGCACAAGTAGCGCAACACCCTCTTCGCTGCAGCCATGTGCTCTGGTCGGTGTCTCCCAGGAGCAACATAGCGTGCGAGAATGCTAAGAGGGTATGCAAGGTCAGGTCGTGTGCAGGTCATCAGGTACATGAGGCAGCCAACAAGCTCTGGGTACGGGCCACTCGACTCTACGGACTCATCCGAAGGCAGAGCTGAGAGCGAGTGGCGAGTAGGCAGAGGAGTGGCCTGAGGCGAGGAGTACGTGAAGCCGAAGCGCTGAAGGACCTGCTGCACCATGTGTGACTGAGTCAGGGTAATGGTGCGGCGTGCTCTGTCCCGGGTGATCTGCAAGCCAAGGTAGCTACGCAGTTCACCCAGGTCAGTGCACGTGTGTCTCTTCTGCAGCTCGGACTTCATGTGGGCGAGTCCAGCAGTGTCAGCTGTGGCAAAGACCAAGTCGTCGACGTACACGAGGATATAGAACAGCGGCAGCGAGGTGTCGGTGCGCAGAAACAGCGACGGGTCGGCAGTAGACGGAGCAAACCCAAGTGCCGCGAGCGTAGTCCTCAGTGTGTCGTGCCACTCACGTGGCGCCTGGCGGAGACCGTAGACTGGACGCCGAAGACTCCACTGGGTACCAGGAGGGAAAGACCCAGTGAAGCCAGGTGGACGGCGCAGCCAGATCTCCTCGTGCAGGCTGCCCTGCAAGAAAGCGGTGCTGAAGTCGAGAGAGTGGAGCTCGTAGTCACGGTGAGCAGCAACGTGCAGTAGAACCGAAGAGTGGTCATCTTCGGGGTGGGGGAGAAGGTCTGAAAGTAGTCAACCCCCTGCCGCTGACTGAAGCCACGAGCCACGTAACGCGCCTTGAAGACAGGCGGAGAACCCGGCGGCCGCTTCACCCTGAAAATCCACATGCCACTGACTATGTTCGCCCCAGGAGGGGGAACAGCGTCAACGTAGGTGCCTGTGGACTTCCAGGAAGCCATCTCTGCATCCATAGCTGCCTGCCAGTGAGAGGAGTAGGGACCCTCTATCGCCTCCGCGTAAGAGCGCGGAGTCGGGATGTCTGGTGCATCCGGGTCTCCCTCAGGGGCTAGCAGTACAGACGCGAGATGAGGTGAAGCGGCAACCAGACACTGGAACTCCTCCTGCCTGTCCTCAAGGACGTCCGTGCCAAGGGCACACTCACCCCCGACGGACGGAGGACAGGCAGACTCAGACTCAGCGACAAGACTGGCAGCGTAGTCTAGACGACAGCGCGCAGCAAAGTCGAAAAGCTCAATGACAAGGGCAGACGCAGCAGACGACTCGAAGGAAGGGTCAGTGACAGCAGTAGCAAGGAGACGCGTGACAGTAGGACTGGCAGCACGAAGAGAGTCCGACTCCGGGTCGGCAAGAGCAGGAAGAGAGGAAGCAGGAGGAGAAGGCAAAGGGGCACGCAGAGGAGCAGTGGACGGACGCAGTGACATCCGGTGCGTGCCAGGGACAGGAGGAGGACGCGGACGCGACCCGCGACCACTAGCGCGCGCAGTACGAACAGGCGACGCAGGACGAGACGCAGGCTCACGACGCTCAGTAAGACCTCCAGTCGGACCAGCGTAGGGAGAAGGAGCAGGCAAAGGGGAGGCAGGCTGTAGCGGTGGCTGTGACTGGACAGGCGGCGGACCCTCTAAGGGAGGAGGAGGAGGACCAGGAGAAGGTGTAAGACCAAGAACCTGCTGCGGGAGCGGAACGAAGTACGGTCGGGGCCGCGCGGCGACGCCAGAAACAGCAGGGACAGGACTAGTACCCCAGCAGGAGTACCCGCTCCAGCAGCACCTCCAGCAGCACCTCCAGTAGCTCCAGAACCTCCAGCAGCACCACCAGGAGCACTGCCAGGCGGACCGCCAGTGGCAGTCCCAGTGCCAACACCCTCAGCAGCACCAGCTCCAGGAGAAACCTCAGACCCAGCAGCTCCAGTACTCCCAAGACGAGCACCTCTGGGACCCGCGGCAGTGGCACCCTCCGCAGGCGAAGAACCTCCAGCACCAGCAGCACGCCTCCAGCGCCTGGGAAACCACTCACGCAGCTCCTGTGGGGAGAGTGGCTCACGGCGAGACGAAGCACCTCCAGGCACAGCACCCCCAGGCACAGCACCCCCAAGCTCAGCACCCCCAGGCTCAGCACCCCCAGGCTCAGCACCCCCAGGCTCAGCACCCCCAGACTCCGCACCCCCAGACTCCGCACCCCCAGGCTCAGCACCCCAGGCTCAGCACCCCCAGGCTCCGCACCCCCAGGCTCAGCACCCCTGGCCCAGCACCCCCAGGCTCAGCACCTGCAGCAGCACCAGAGTCACTAGTGGCCTCGACAGGCTCGACCGCGTCTACCTGGGACACACCTGAAGGGGCAGGACCCTGAGGGGGGAGGGGGTCTACCGGGGGGGGACCTGGTACCAAGAAGAGCGGGGGCGGGGGGAGGGAAGGAGTGCGGTAGGGGAAGAGGCGGTAGTAGGGTACCGACTCGTCGAACGTGACGTCCTTGGAGGACAGAACACGTCGAGAGGTGGGGTGGTAGAACTGCCACCCAGGGGCGTCCGGGGGGGAACCCCAGGAAGACGCAGGAGAGAAGCGCGAGGGGACAGCTTGTCCGCAGACAGGTCGCGGACAAACGCCCGAGATCCCCAGACCCGGAACGCCGACGCATCGCCAACCTTCCCCGTCCACAGCAGGGCTGAGGAGGTCTCCGGCCTGGAGACCCTGGGGTGGAGGTTGATCTGATGCGCTGCGTACCTGACCGCAAACGGCCACAGAAAATGGGGGGCAGCCGCATGCATCATGGACGTACGGGCGACGTCCATGACCATGCCAATGCGGCGCTCAGCAATCCCATTTTGCTGCGGAGAGTCCGGAAGCGTGAAGGACTGGCGGATGCCTCGCGCACGACAGTAGGTACGTAGAAGGGTAGAGGAGAACTCTCCGCCTCTGTCCGAGTGCAGACGCAACACAAGAAAGTCGGAGCCAAAGCTCTGCCTGAGCTGAAGACGAGCCGCGCGGATCCAGTCGATCAGCACCTCAGTGACCTCACCCTTGCTGCGCAAGGGGAAGACTGTGGTGTAACGCGAGTAGTCGTCAACCACCAGCAGGAAGTAGCGCTCCTGACCCTGTCCAAGGACGCGGGCTGGGCCCCACACGTCCATGTGAAGCGTCTGCAACGGGGCCTCTGTCGGAGGAAACTGGGAGGAGTGAGGGGCAGCACGCTGGCGCCCCTCGACACAGGGGACACAGGCAGGGCCAGGGCCCTGAGGAAGGGGAGGGAGGGACCGGGGAAGACCAGACACAAGAAGACGGGAGGCCATACCTCTGAGCCGAAGCAGAGAGGGGTGGCCAAGGCGGTGGTGCCAGAGGAGGGTCTCGTGAGACAGACGACGACACGAACAGGGGGCAGACTCAGGGCAGACCTGGACGCTGCAGCAAACACCTGACCAGACGAAGGGACCCTACCAGAGTCAGTACCTGGAGGAGAAGCACGAGTGGTAGTGTGTACAGGCTCGACCCGGCCGACGTGTAAACGTAGCCAGGTGGCGACCTGTGCTAGCCTCCGTGCAGTGTGTCACCCGCTGACGAGCAGGAGTGAACTGGGACACCCACATCCTGTAGGTCAGCACCACTCACGAGGTTCGTCGAGAACGAGGGGAGGTAGAGACCAGACAGGGGTGCCAGAGGGGGCCGCCGGACACGGAAGGACCGTGGAGAAGCGAGACAGGACAGGCCCCCCAGAGGGGTCAGGCAGGGACACCGCAACAGGCCGACTCAGCGGCGTGAGAGTGGTGCGGTCCTGAAAGAAGGAGCGAGACGCTCCAGAGTCAAGGGTGAAGGTGTGAGAGGCCGAAGCCGACACAGTACCTGAGAGGGCAGACTCACCAGTACCTGAGGCACAGACGCACTGGCACCTAGAGCAGCAGCCTCACGAGTACTGACGCCAGCAGTACCAATGCCCGGGTCAGGCGGGAAACACCGGTAACAGTCATCCTCATCACTACTAGTCACAACATACATAGCAGAAAGAATAGCATCAAAGTCAAGATCATAAATAGCTACACCAGCCCTAGACAGCTCCCCCCAGCGGGGGGATCTCAGCGGCCTCCGGAAACTGCTGACGCCAGGCGTCGGTCAGGCGGCCAAAGCAGCGGCGGGCTGTGTGGGTGCCTCCACACCTCTCCCCCGCACGGTCGCCGGTGCGAAGAACGTAGGGGCAGGGACCAAACGCACCACCACGCTGACGCTGCAAGTACCACTCACGGAGCTGCTGAGGGGCGGGGACGGTGCGAGAGCGCTGCTGCTGCTGTGGCTGCTGTGCTGCTGCGCTGCTGGCTGGCGCTGACCACCCCCAGAGCTGCTCCGCTGAGACGAGCCACCCCGACCCCCGCCGCCACCGCCACCCCCGCCTCCACCGCAACCCCCGTCTCCACCGCCACGCCCCCACCGGCACCCTCACCCCCGCCTCCTCCGCTACCTCCTCCGCCGCCACCTCCGCCTCCACCGCATCCACTAGTACCTCCACTCCCGCCACCACCTCCACCGCCACCCCCACTCCCCCCGCCACCCCCACCTCCCCCGCCCACCCCCCCCTCTAGCTCCACCCGCTCCCTTGCCCCCTTTGCCCTTGCCATTGCGGCGTCTACCGCTGGGGGCAGACGCCGCACCAACCGACTCAAAACCAGCGAGGTCGGCCGCAGCGGCAGAGGCGACAGAGGGCAGCAGGGGGGAAGGAGAACACCCCTCAAAAATGGGGGTGCGAGGGTCACCCCGAGAGGCCCCTACAGCGACGATGCTCTTCTCAGCCGTAGCAGGGACTCCTCAAGGAGGTCGACAGTGAGAGTGGTGGACAGACAGAGAGAAAACTGGTCCCTAACTACACGAAGGGACTCAGGGAGACGAGTGACGAGAAAGTAGAGAGTGATGTACATGGGAGGAGGGTTTGCGGCGCGGAACTCAGCAGGAAGGGCAGCGCGGTAGGGTAGCGAGGTCACTAGCGCGGAGGTGGGTAACGAGGTCAGCAACAGTGGGAAAGGCAGCGAGGTCAGGGAAGAGAAACGGTAGCATGAGGCGGCTAAGCGTAGCGGAGGAGGAAGGGGAGGAGTAGCGTGCAACTACAGCGTCGTACAAGGCCTGAGCGGTCTTGCACTGACTAAAGTAGGCACGCTTGGAGGAAGGGAAGGTGGCGACGCACAGCAAGACGTGCAGCAGCATCGCGGGTCGCCCACTTGGAGCGAACGGCGGGGTCAGCATCAGCAGGAGCAGGAGGGGCAGGGACAGCTCCAGAGACAAAGTCAAAGAGAGAGACCTCATCTATCGCATCACACAGTAAGTACAGCTGCAGGTCTTCAATCCAGACTGGAAAGTCAATGGCTCTACCCTCAGCGTCAAAAAGCCTAGGACAGTGGGGGTGGCCATGACAGCAGCTGACAGTCTCACCGGGTAGGAAAAGTCGGGTAGGTCAGCGGCACTGTAACACAGCCCAGGAGCAGCAGTGGCCCCACAGGAGCAGGAGTGCGGCTGCACTGGCGGCTCGGGCGGCTCGGGCGGCTCGGGCGGCTCGGGCGGCTCGGGAGCTCAGGCGGCTCGGGCGGCTCGGGCGGCTTGGGCGGCTCGGGCGGCTCGGGCGGCTCGGGCGGCGCAGGGGCTCACGGGCGGCGCGGGGCGGCTGCACGGGCGGCTCACGGGCGGCTGGGGCTGCTCACGGGCGGCACGGTGGGCGGCTGCACGGGCGGCTGCACGGTGGCGCGGCGGGCTGCAGCACGGGCGGCGAGGCCGACGGTGGGCCGTAGCGGGGGCTTAGCGGGGCCGGCGGCGGGCTGTAGCGGGGCTGTAGCGAGGCTGTAGCGGGGGCCGACGGCGGGCTGTAGCGGGGCCGGCGGCGGGCTTGTAGTGGGGCCGACGGCGGGCTGTAGCGGGGACCGGCGGCGGGCTGGGGCGGGGCCGACAGCGGGCTGTAGCGGGGCGGCAGCGGGCTGTAGTGGGGCCGACGGCGGGCTGTAGCGGGGCCGACGGCGGGCTATAGCGGGGCCGACGGCGGGCTGGAGCGGGGCCTACGGCGGGCCGACGGGGTCTAGGCGGGGCAACGAGGGGCCGTAGCAGGGCCTAGGCGGGCCGACGGGGCCTAAGCGGGGCCGACGCGGGGCCGTCGTAGCGGGGCCCCCTAAGCGGGGCCGGCGAGGCCCTAAGCGGGGCCGACAGGGGCCTAAGCGGGGCCGACTAGGGGCCTAAGCGGGGCCGACGAGGGGCCTAAGCGGGGCGACGAGGGGCCTAAGCGGGGCCGACGAGGGTGCCTAAGCGAGAGCACGGCGGTAAGGGCGACACGGAGGGTCGCTTAAAAAAAAAAACGCGCGCCTCGGGGCGCGCTTCGGTGGGCCCTAGGAAACAGTCCCTAGGAAGGGACCTGCTCTGATTCCATGAGAGAATATGAACGAGAATGAAATGACTATGAACGAAGTGAGTACAAATAGGCAACCCTAATTGGGTTGTACCCCCTATGGGATACCCCACTATAGCCTACACAAATAAGTAGCTATAATGTTCTGACACTGCAATGTCCTAAGTCCTAATAGCAGAAGGACTTGGCTACAACTTACTGAGCGTCAGTCAGTTGATGGCGAAAGACATACATCTGGAAGCCGACAGTACCACCCAGGGTTCAAGCTGTACCACGGGGCGGGCGGCCTCTACACGGAAAAGGCGGTCCTGAAGAACAATGTCTTCGTTCTCGATTTCGTCCAAGACCTGGGCACCGCAGACAGTGACGGGATCGTCACCTCATATCTTGGACGCACCCGCCGGATCTCGACCCCGACTTCAGTCCGGAAGGCTTTTGGTATCATATACCATTCCTGAAGCAGAACGAACACGTGCGTTAGTAACATACAACATCCGGCAGCAGCAGAGACAACATCTGGCAGCAGCAGAGACAATATCGGCAGCAGCAGAGACAACATCGCAGCAGCAGACAACATCGGCAGCAGCAGAGAGGACATCATCGGCAGTAGCAGGAGAACAACAACAATAGCAGCACTAATGACACCAGTCCTCGTTGACGAAGCACCACCAACACCCGCACAGCAGCTGGATCCGGCTCAACGGGAAGTCATAGAAGCGCAAACTTCACCGCCAGCTTCTACTCCAACTCCGACGCGTATCGACACTCACCCGGACACGCGCCTCCGAAGACATTTGGCACACACGCATGGGACACCCAAGCAACACTGTGTTAAAACAACACAATAAGAGCGGAGTCCTTGACAAGGACTCGTTACTACTACTCGACGGCAGAGAACTTCAACGGGCACGAGGAACATGTCTTACTGCCTCGAAGCCGACTTACCACATCAGCCGTTCACTCTCATCACAACCCGAGCGCACCCGCGTACGCACCACTCGAAAAGGTGTATAGCGACATCCTATACAATCGGGAATCAGGCAAGTAATATACAACTACACAATCACTTCATCGACGCCGCCACCCGTTACGTCTGGCATCTAAATCTACCCAGCCGCGACTGGTCCTCGAAGCATTCGCTGCTTGGCTACCAGTAGCAGAAAGAGAGTCGGGCGTTAAAGTTAAAAAGCTTCCAGTCTGACGGAGGAGGAGAAACACCTTTGAGCGATTCAAGCAGTACCTAGCGGAAAGGGGAATCAAGTAGCTCCTCTCTCTTCCCTACGCCCATCAGCAGCAAGGTGTAGCAGAGAAAGAATGAAACAGGACTCTACAGAACAGCATGCGCAAACAGTTACGTGGCATGCGGCTACCCAACCACCAGGGCCTGCAAGCAATGGACCACGCCGTCATGCCTGCACAACTTGCTGTCGTCATCATCGCTTTCGAACAACGCATCACCGCATCTGCTATGGACAGGAAAACAGGGCAGCACAAAAATGTTACGAGTTTCCGGATGCATGGTACAGTACCGACCCCCAGCAGCACGAGCGGGCCCGATTTTCTCAACGCGCACAGTGGGGACTACACCTCGGCATCGAAAAGAACTACAACGCGTGGAAAATCTTTAACGTCCACTCCAAGGAAACAGTAGCAGCACGCGACGTCATTTTCTACGAACGACTCACGCTCCAGGACATACCTTGCCAACCTGCAAGAGGACCAAGATCCCACAGGTGGTTTTCGTGGTGATCGAGCCTTCGCCTCGGCAGCAGACGAAGTACATGGGACGAGCAGATGTGGCCCAACGCATCAGAAGAAGCTGGACCCCTTCCGTTCTGCTCCGTTGACGTCCCCATGGACAAAGATAACCCTCGCGAAAGTCTCAACGCCGAAACCTTCTACTACTTCGCCGACAACGGTTACGTAACACCTGCGACACGTCAACACCAACGAAGCAGACGAGTAGGACCGAATTTCATACTTGATCCAGAAGCGGGGAGATGAAGCAGCTTATCCGAGGATGCAACTTTTCCCGCTACTCACCAGACTGGACTGCAGATTCTTGGACTCGTCACCGCAGTCCACGGCAAACACTCTCCCTAAGGAGCCTGCGACGGTTTCAGCAGGCTCTTGGGGGGGAACACAAGAAAAATGGCGTAAAGCCATGGACAAAGAGTTAAAGTCGCTGGAGGAACGGAACACCTGGAAAGTGGTCCTCATCAGCATGGCAAGGAACAAGACCATCTCACCGGGGAAATGGTTTTTCCGCGTTAAAACAAAGCAGACGGCACAAATTGAGAAGTTCAAAGCACGCTGGGTTTGTGCGTGGATTCGATCAGGAGCACGTACGGGACTTTACCGAGACATTCGCCCCCGGTTAGCCGAAATACCTCACTTCGAATCCTCCTCGCGATCGCCGCCATGAAGAAAAGGAAGCTACTGCAAATCGATGTCGCCAACGCGTTCCTCTACGCACCTGTCGACGCGGAAATCTTCGTCGAGCTCCCATACGGTACCAACGGGGAACCTAACCAAGTCTGTCAACTGCTGAAATCACTTTACGGGATCAAGCAAGCTCCGCGGCCATGGCAACAGTACCTACACACTCGCCTCATTCGCATCGGATTCCGCCAACTACCTCACGACCAAGGAATGTACCGACTCACTAAAGACATCGACTACATTCTGCTGATCGTCTACGTAGACGACCTACTCTACATCGGCTCCACTGACGACATACCCACCACTTGGTTCGAAGGGGAGCTACAGAGGGACCTCACACTCACGGTCTCCTCTACCGTCACACAGTACCTCGGCTTAAACATTCGGGAAGAAGAAGGCGCGATCTACCTCAACGCCGCTAAGTACGCTGACACCATCGCCAAACGCTTCGCGCTCACACCTACCACCATCTCTACGCCCTACCGCTATGTGAAAACAAAGAACGAGAATGAAATGGACTATGAACGAAGTGAGTACAAATAGGAAACCCTAATTGGGTTGTACCCCCTATTGGATACCCCACTATAGCCTACAGAAACAAGAAGCTATATGTTCTGACACACCCCCATAGGCAAAGTGGGGGAGAACAAGGGGTCAAAAGACCAGTCACGCAAAGCAAAGCAAAGCTCAGGGTGGATCACAAAGTCACCACGCATTCCGAGCACAAGTTCAAAGGCCACAAGGCCAGTTCACATGCAATATCATATATAGAGATATACAAGAGCAAGAGTATAT